CCAGGCACTGGTGGCTCATGCCTGTAATTGTAACTACTCAAGAGGCTGAGATCTGAGGATCGCGGTTCAAAGCCAGCCCAGGCAGAAAAGTCCCCATGAGACTCTAATCTCCAATTAACCCCTTAAAACCTGGAAGTGGCATTGTGGTTCAAGTGGTAGAGCACTAGCCTTGAGCATAAAGAGGCTCAGGGACAGTGCCCAGGCCTTGAGTTCAAGCCCCATGCCCAACAGAAAGAAAGAAAGAAAGAGAGGGGGAGGACGGGAGGGATAGCGTTCATTATATTTTCAGATATATATACAAGGTATCCCAATAAATCTCATGGAAGAAAGAGATTTATCATAAGGAACTGGCTCTTAAGATTATGGAGGCTGGCAAGTACAAGATCTTCAGGGTGGTCTGGAAAGCTGGAGGCTTAAGAGAGCTAATATTCCAATTTGAATCCAATGACCATCTGTTGTAGAACCAGGAAGAGGCAATTTTGTAGAGAAAATCCAGACCTGCTGGAAAGAAGCTCATCTTTGTTTTGTATTTTTTGTTGAGGAGAGTGTTGTGATTTGAATTCAGGGTCTTGTGCTTGCTAGGCAGGCACTCTACCCCTTGAGCTACTTTGTCAGCTTAAAGGCCCTCCTTTTGTGTTTCAATCAAACATTCCACTGACTGGATTAGGCCACCCACATCAGGGTGAGTCATCTGCTTTCTTTAAAATCCACCAATTGGCCAAGCATTGGTGGTTCATACCTTTAATCCTAGCTAACCAGGAGGCTGAGATCTGTGGATTGAAGATTGAAGCCAGCCCACATAGACAAATCCTCGAGACTTATCTTCCAAAGTTGGATGTGGAGTCTGTGTCTCAAGTGGCAGAGCACCAGCTTTGAGCAGAAAAAGCTATGCAAGAGCAAGAGGGCCTGAGTTCAAGCCCCAGTACTGGTACAAAGAAAACCCACCAATTCATATATTAATATTGCCCAAAATTACCCTTCCAAAAACAGCCAGAATAACTATTGACTAAATACTGGCCACCACATGGCCCAGACAAGTTGACCCATAAAAATTAACCATCACAAGAAGGAGGAATGAACTAGAATGGCAGTGTTTAGGCAGTTACAACTATAAAGGATTTGGAATTTGGAGACCAGCAGATGGAATGAGGGAGCCTAGAGGCAGACAGAATCTAGGAGACTACTGTTTTCAGATAAGAAGGAAACAGGATAATGACAGTAAGCCCTGAAGGGTAAGAAAAGAGAGGCAAACAACCTGGATTGACAAGATTTGTCAATGACCAGACCTGGAATGATGGGGACCAGGTATGCACAGGACTCTGTAGTTTCAAAGCTGGAAAACCTAGAAGGATGGGAAGTCATTGAAAGAAATGGAAGGATGATGGGCATAAGAAATGCACACTTCTCTTGGGGGTACTCAGTTTGAAGAGCCTGTCCATTGTATTTTCATGTGTAGGTCATCAAATGACATGAAACAGTCCATCCCAAAACCATGAATAAAAAATACAAAGATAAGAGTTTGCTCACTAATCTAGAGGATGAACTCAACTAGCAGCTCTCACTCGGTATCATGATGCATCTTATTGATTTCCGTGGGCAACAGGAAATTCAATTGTTCATGTAGGAATTATTAAATGGATGATAAAATAAACTTTGGTCATTTCTCTTTTTTTTGCATAATACCTGCTGAATTCATTCTTTACACGTTGATTGCCATTTTTATTTAAGGATTGCCAGTCAATTCTAAATCATACTTCATTGCCTTAAAAGGGAGAAAAAAATTATTTACTGCTTCAGCTTCTTCCATGCCCAGAAAATATTCTGAGTCAGAGTATACTTGTCTATTTTTAAAATGAGTTTTATAGTTCCCTTTGATTTCTGTTTTATTGGATTTTATTTATTAAATATTCTAGATCCAGGTGGAAAATGTTACAACATCTTGGTTGAGGCACAATTTGCTACTCTAAAATTGAACAATTTTAAGGAAGCAATTCAATCATTTGTAGTAAATTGACAGAATGTGCAGTCATCATCCCCCAACATGTTTTTTTGTTTTTTGTTTTTTTGGGTCTTGTTGTGGGGCCTGAACTCTGGGCCTGGGCGCTGTCCCTCAGCTCTTCAGCTCAAGGCTAGCGCTCTATCACTTGAGCCACAGTGCTACTTCCGGCTTTTTTCTCTTTTCTTATGTGGTGCTGAGGAATCGAACCCAGGGCCTCATGCATGCAAGGCAAGCGCTCTACCACTAAGCCACCTTCCCAGCCCCCAACCTGGTTTTGAGGAACATTCTTGTGCGACAAGAATTCCTGCAACCAGTGTCTCTATAGATTTATCTTTTCTGGACTCCCCGCACCCCCCCCCCCCCCATAAATGGAATCCTATGATGCGGAGTTTAAGACTGACTTCTTTCACTGAGCATACCATTTTCAGGGGGCATGTATGTGTCAATACATATGTGTGCATGTGTGCACATGTGCGTGCACGTGCACACACAAACACACACACACAAACACACACTATCATCTCTTGTTGATTGGTTTAGCCAATGAGCATTTGACTTAAGATGAAGCAATCAAAGCTTGTCTCTGGAGATGTTCAACTTGGTAGTCACAGAGACTTTCCTTGCATCTGTCTGGTGCACAGCTGGAAAGCAGAAGGGTAGGAAAGAGTTACATAGTATTTTTGGCTGCTAGCTCCCTGAACCTTCACAAAGGGACCCTGCAACCCTGATCAAACCTTGCCCAACAACTGGGAATGTGGCCTTCAGAAGGTTTTTGATGTTAATGATTAATCATTTTGTTGTGTACACATAGAGCAATGGACCATGATGTACCAGCTTGTCGGGACTGCTTTGCACAAACACCAAGATTGATAATGCGCACCTAGAGGGAACCAGGTGTCCAGCCAAGCTCTTAAAGGAGGGATCAGGGGAGCAGAACGTCCATTGCCTGGGCTACCTGGCCAAGGGACAGCTGGTAGGCTTACCTCTACCATCAAGACAAGTGTCCAGTTATCTTCTTTCATGTTCCTCAGTGAACCCCCAGAGTCACCTGCAGTGTTTTGATCAGAAAATAAGTGATAACCATAGAAGATGAAGATTTAGGTCCTGGCAATTATTTTCCTTCTAACAACCCTCCAGAAGCATCATGACGACACATGTTTGTGTTACCCACTGTGAATTTTGAACCTATGACTTCCTTGACTTCTTTGAAAATACTCAGAAAAGGCTAGCCTGAGGTCAGTATTAGGAAGGAAATGGTTTCCAAAAGTAGATAGGTACTCTTCACAGGAAAGACCTAGAGGAAATGGTGTTTGTACAAAGGGATAAGAACTAATCCAGTTCTTCCATTCCATTAAAGGAGAACTGGCACCTGTTCATATTTTGCAACTTAAAGAAAAGATGGAGGTGGGGTGGGGGGAGTGTAGTTGTGGAGGTGGGAAGGAAGGGAGGGTAGGGGAAAAGCAAAGGAGGAGGTAACAATGCTTGATAGGAAATGTACTCATTATCTTGCTCATGTAATTGTAACCCCTCTGTACAGCATCTTTACAATAAAAACATATTTTTTTAAAAAATATGGCTCTAAAAATAAAATTGGCTGGGCACGGATGGATCACACCTAATCCTAACTACTCATCAGGTTGAGAGCTGAGGATCACAGTTAGAAGCCAGCTCAGTTTCTGAAGTAAAGGTAACTTTATTAAGAAAAAAAAAAGAGGGATGGGAAGGTGGCTCAGTGGTAGATCGCTTGCCTTGCATGCATGAGGCCCTGGGTTCGATTCCTCAGCACCACATAAGCAAAAAAAAAAAAAGCCGGAAGTGGCGCTGTGGCTCAAGTGGTAGAGCGCTAGCCTTGAGCTGAAGAGCTGAGGGACAGTGCCCAGGCCCAGAGTTCAGGCCCCACAACTGGACCCAAAAAAAGAAAAACAAAGAAGCCAGATTAGGCAGGAAAGTCCATGAGACTCTTATCTCCAATTAAACACACACACAAAAAAATGAGCCAGAAATAGAGTTGTGGCTCAAGTGGTAGAGTGCTAGACTGGAGCACAAAAGCTCAGGGACAGCACTCATGTCCTGAGTTCAAGCCCCAAGACTGACACACACAAAAATAAAAAATCAAATAAAATTAATTACTCAACTATAAAGACACATGAGTTCCCATCATTTGTAGGAAAATGAATGAAATGGAAAGGCATCGTGTTAAGTAAAATAAGTCATTCTCTGAAAGAAAGACATATGCTGTATGTTTTCTTTCGTTTTCATGTGGAAACAAAAAAGCAATAACAATGAATGAATTATAATAGAAGGATTATTAAGGATGAAAAAGGGGCAGAGTGGAGGGATGAAAGGGGGGGTAGGGAGCAGGTAGATGGAGGACCTGATCAAAACATGTTGGATTTGGATACATGGGGAAATATCACAATGAATCCTACTAATCTGTCCAATTAATGTGTTAATAATGATAGTTTAAGGGATAAAAATAAAATCCAAAATGCTGAGGAAACTAACCCAATACAAAATGTGGTTAAGTGCATTTAGAACTAAACACTCAATATGATACTATGCAACCACTAGAAATAACTATACACAACAGTTCATAATGATATGTCTTGTTTTTGTTTGGTCAGTCCTGAGGCTTGAACTCTGGGCCCAGCCACTGTCCCTGAGGTCCTTTTGTTCAAAGCTAGCTCTCTACCACTTGAGGAGCAACAGTGCCACTTCCAGCTTTTTCTGTGATTAATTGGAGATAAGAGTCTCATGGATTTTCCTACCTGGGCTGTCTTCCAACTACAGTCCTCAGACCTCATCCTCCTGAATAGGTAGGATTACATATGTGAGCCATCAGCACCTGGCTGTCTTGCTTTTTTTTTTCTATAACCAGCACGCATGCTTGACTTTGAAAACTGGGAAAAATCTTTAAGTGTATTTAAGTAGAAAGATATCTATAATTAGTTTCTCTCTCCCAAACTCAGCCTGTGTTAACGTTTCTTTTCATTATTATTACTATTATTATCTTTAAGAAGTTGTACGAAGGGGTTTCGATTCAATATGTCAGTTCATGAGTACAATGTACCCTTCCAGCATTCATTCCCCCATCTCTCTTAACTCCACTGATGTTTCAATGATTCATGATTATCACCAAGTTAAATCTAAATCCCACATATTTTTCTTCTACATATTTCCAGCCCAAGAAATCTTTCAGGTTCTCATTGCAAATTATGTATACATTAAATGGTTTCTTAAAATGTGTGTGTGGAGAGGTGCGTGCGTGCGTGCGTGCGTGCGTGCGTGTGTGTGTATGTGAGTGTGTGAGTGTGTGAGTGTGTGTGTGTGTGTCTGTCTGTCTGTGTCTGTCTGTCTATCTTTCTGTCTGTTCTCAGGGCCTGGGCAATGTCCCTGAGCTTTGTTTCTCAAGACTAACATTCTACCGCTCAGATGGATCTCCTCCAAGGGCAACTAAGAGATCCAGGTTGCTTCAATTTCGTAGCTTAGCCATCTTGAGATTTGCTTCTTGCCTCACAAAGGTAAGAAAGAGGATAATGGGAACTAACATTTGCTCTTTTCTTTTCTTCTCTTTTTTTTTGGGGGGGGGTCTGGTTGTGGGGCCTGAACTCTGGGCCTGGGCACTGTCCCTCAGCTCTTCAGCTCAAGGCTAGCGCTCTACCACTTGAGCCACAGCGCCACTTCCGGCTTTTTTCTTTTTGCTTATGTGGTGCTGAGGAATCAAACCCAGGGCCTCAGGCATGCAAGGCAAGCGCTCTACCACTGAGCCACCTTCCCAGCCCCACATTTGCTCTTTTCTACTCAAGCAAGAAATAACATATCATTTCTGTTTATATTTTGATAGAAACTCCCACATGTGGTCCCAACTCAACAACAAAGGCATCTGGGAAATATAAGGGAGCACGTAGGTATTTGTGAGTATGGTTGAGGAATGGAAGGAGATTATGGCACTGGGTCTTGGACTCAGGGCCTGAACACTGTCCCTGAGCTTTTTCTACTCAAGGCTGGGACTCTACCACTTGAGCCACAGCTCCACTTCTGGTGGTTTATTGGAGACAAGAGCCTTACAGACTTTCCTGCCTAGGCTGTATTCAAATCATGATCCTCAGAATTCAGCCTCTTGAGTAGCTATGATTACAGGTGTGAGCCGCTTGCACCTGACCTATTATTTCAACTCTGCTGATGTGAAGCTAGAATAACCAAAAAATGAACTCATTTTCCCAGATTCCCATTTTATTGCTCTTAGTAGACAAAGCCACCAACTATCCCAGAGAAGTTGAAGTGCTCCTTCTGCTAAAGGTACAAACAAATCTATTAATCTTTTTTGGGGGGAGGGGCAGTCGTGGGGCCTGAACTCTGGGCCTGGGCGCTGTCCCTCAGCTTTTCAGCTCAAGGCTAGCACTCTACCACTTGAGCCACAGCACCACTTCTGGCTTTTTTCTTTTTTCTTATATGGTGCTGAGGAATCGAACCCAGGGCCTCATGCATGCAAGGCAAGCGCTCTACCACTGAGCCACCTTCCCAGCCCAAATCTATTCATCTTGATGAGACTAATTTCTCCCCATGGTTTGATTTTTTAAAATTAATTGACTTATTTACTATCAGTCATGGGGCTTGAACTCAGAACCTGGGCACTGTCCCTGAGCTTTGTTGCTCAAAGCTAGTACTCTATCACTTCTGGGTTTCTGGTGGTTAATTAATTGGAGATAAGAGTCTCATGGACTTTCCTGCTCAGGCTGCCTTCAAACCTGCCATCCTCAGATCTTAGCCTCCTGAATAGCTAGGATTACAGGTCTGAGCTACTGGTACCTAGCTTGTGCTTGGATTTTTTTTTTCCCTTCGAAATTCATGTTGGAATTTTTAGTTTTTGTTGGTAATAGGGCTTGAACTCACGGCCTCGACATTGTCCCTGAACAATTTTTGCTCAAGGCTAGTGCTCTACCACTTTGAGCCACAGTGCCACTTCTGGTTAATTGAAGATAAGAGTCTCACAGGGACTTTTCTGCCTGGCTGACTTTGAACCGCAATCCTCAGATATCAGTCTCCTGAGTAACTAGGCTTACAGGAGTGAACCACTGGCACCCAACTGGAAAAAATTTTTGTGCCTGTCCTGGAGCTTGAATTCAGAGGCTGGGCATTGTCCCTGAGTTCTTTTGCTCAAGGACTAGTGTTCTATCACTGAAACCACAGATCCACTCCTGGCTTTTTGGTGGTTAATTGGAGATAAAAGTCTCATTGTCTTTCTTGCCCAGGCTGACTTTGAACCATGATCCTCAGAGTCAGGCTGCCTTCAAACCTGCTATCCTCAGATCTTAGCCTCCTGAGTAGCTACAATTGCAAGCATGAGCCATCAGTGGCCAGCTTTTATGTTGAAATTTAATTGCCATTGAAACAATATTGAAAAGGGTGATGCTTACGAGTGAATTGGGGCATGAGGGCTCTGGATTAATGGCATTACTGTGAGTGGTTTCCTCCCCCTCTCATATTCTTGCTCTGGCTCTCTCTCCCTTCTTTGTCCTTCCACTCTGAGAAGTCATCTCCCATATTATGAGGCAATGACAAGGCCCTTGCTAGATGTCAGCACCATGATCTTGGACTACAAGCCAATTTGTTACCCAGTGTGTGCATTTGTTTTAAAGTCACCCATAATTTTACTACACAGGTCCCACTCTTTCAAATATATTGATTAATATAACTTAATTATCTTTCCTTGTTCCATAAATTCTTGTTAACTCTATCTTATTGTACAAGATCCAAGTTCTTTCCAAACAGTATGTATCATCAAAGTTCCTGTAGGTAGAAGACCCAGCTCCCATTACACTACCAGCAGTTTTGCATCATGATACATATTGGAGCATTTCCTTCAGATAAACTCCCAGAGGAGGAATTAATAGGTCATGAGCTGTGTTTCTAAATCCACCATCCAGGAAACAAATCCCACTCCTATCAGAAAAGATTCAATGAAAAAGTTGTGATCAGCTGGGGCACCAGTGACTCACACCTATAATCCTAGGTACTCAGGAGGCTGAGATCAGAGGTTCACAATTTGAAGCCAGCCTGGGCAGGAAAGTTTATAAGACTCTTATCTCCAATAAACTTCTCAGAAAAGCAGGAAGTAGCACTGTGGCTCAAGTTGGTAGAGCCCTAGTCTTGAGCACAAAAAGGCTCAGGGACAGCACCCAGGCCTTGAGTTCAAGCCTCAGGACTGGCAAAAGAATTATGGAGATGATGATGTTAATTATGATGATGATGGTAATGATACAGTTTGTCATGCCACTGAGGAGAGAAGGTTCATGGGGTGGGCTAACTTTTGGGAGAAAAGATGTTCTTTGACATCTTTATAACTGAAATTATGTCCCCATCTACACATGTGTGATACTAAGTCATATATAGATTCATAAACTCATCCACTTCAAAACTACTATTATTGTGCCAGTTTGAACTCAGAACCCCAGGCTCTTAGTTGGGCTTTTTCACTTGCAGCTGGTGCTCTACAAATCACACTTCTACTTTGGCTTTTTGATTGTTAATTGGAGTTTTAAGATCTTTTCTGCTCTGGCTGGCTTTGAACTGTTATCCTTCAGGTCACAGCCTCTTGAGTAACTAGAATCACAGGCATGACATGCTGGTGCTGAACCAAAATTATATCTAAGTATGTATTTTGCACATAAGCTGTAAAGATTTACCAAGCTGAAGAATATTCCCTAAAAGTAAGGGCAATTATAACCACCGTGGCATTTCTGTTTGTAAGGTGACTTCACTTCCATTTTTCATTGGAATTATTCAAAAGCCAAGTGTGTAGCAATTTTGACTGTTTTATAGGTGAAAAAAAACAATAAGTCCAGAGGGGAGGGATTTGCCCCAACGGTCTAGGGATGGGGCTTAGAATCCCATGATTCACTTTGCCATCATAAGAACCACAGAGCCATGTATTCTGAATTCTAAGCTAAGGAACAATAAAGTGGAGTTCTGTCTTTTAATTTATTTTTTGTTGTTATAAATGTTATGTACAAAGGGGTTTCAATTACATAAATCAGGTAAAGAGTACATTTTTTTTTGGACAATGACACCCTTTCCCTCACTTTCCCAGTTTTTCCCTTCCATCCCCACCCACAAGCTCTATAGCTGATTTTCTACAGTGTCTAGTGAGTACCACTGCTGCATTTGTTCACCAAGTTGTGTTTCTTTTTCTTGTTCCATTCAGGAAGTTGAGGCAGAAGATCAAGAGTTTAAGGCCAGCTTTCGCTACATAGGGAGACTCGGTCTGAAACAAACTTTTTGTTTTTGTTTTTGTTTTTTGTTGGTCGTGGGCCTGAACTCTGGGCCTGGGTGCTGTTCCTCAGCTCTTCAGCTCAAGGCTAACACTCTACCACTTGAGCCATAGCACCACTTCTGGCTTTTTTCTGCTTATGTGATGCTGAGGAATTGAACCCAGGGCCTCATGCATGCAAGGCAAGCACTCTACTGCTGAGCCACCTTCCCAGCATGAAACAAACTTTTTTTAAAGGACCCTTGCTGGGTGCTGGTGGCTCATGCTTGTATTCCTAGCTACTCAGGAGGTGGAAATCTGAAGAGTGTGGTTCAAAGCCAGCCACAGTAGGAAAATCCGTAAGACTCTTACCTCCACTTAACCACCAAAAAGCTAAAAAGTAGAGCTGTGGCTCAAGATGTAGAGTGCCAGCTTTGAGCAAAAAAAAGCTAAAGAGGACTGGGAATATGGCTCAGTGGTAGAGTGCTTGCCTAGCGTGCATAAGCCCTAGGTTCAATTCCTTGGTACCACATAAACAGAAAAATCTGGAAGTGGTATTGTGACTCAAGTGGTAGAGTGCTAGTCTTGAGCTAAAGAAGCTCGGGGACAGTGCCTAGACCCTGAGATCAAGCCCCAGGACTGGCAAAAAAATAAAAAAGCAGCAAGCTAAGAAACAGTGCCCAGGCCCTGAGTTCAAGTCTCAGTTACCAGCACTAAATTAATTAATTAACAATTAGGGCTCTCGCTCAGTTTGTGATGTCATTCGCGTCTCATCATGGCCCAGTGGGGTGCTAAATTGTGCTCTGTCTGCTTGATGA